GTTTCCACGTTTTTGCCTCTTAGTGGTTCACTAACTGAGGTTGATTTATTCGTTCCATTTTTGGGCAAGTGTAGGAACGCTGGCTTCCAGCTGCTAGTTTTAAAGGGTATCCGAAAACAAGGTAGATGAGAAACTAACAAAATGGAAGACAGAAAGTCACCTGGACAGTAGCAAACTTAAATTGTATTTGTTTACATATCTCATCTTGTTTTGAGAAAGATTTAACCTACTTCATGTCAAAATGTGATAGAACAAGCCAGACCTGGGGGTGCATGCCTATAATTCCAGCATGCTGCGAGACTAAGGCAGAACCATCCCGTGTGAGCCCCGCCTCAGGACTCAGCACTACAAAGGCAAGTCAGGAGGGTAATAGAACAAAAAATCCAATTTTATTTCAAGAAAGAAAGAAAAATAATGTACCAGGAGGTGAGTTGGAGAAGCTAGCACAGTAAATACATGGCATCAAGCTTGTTCACTTTCTCAGAATAAGGCACGAAACTGGCCCCAAAACCAAGAGGAAAGCTATTTGGAAAAGCAGAATTGGCCTGCTCCATAGACCAGAATTAAATTTTTCCCAAGGTGTGTCATGGGGAGGGGGTGATCATGGAAGTTTTCAACAACCTATAACAGTAACTGTAGTACATTGATCATTTCACAAGATTTTTATGTATATCCATGTTCTAAGCAGTGTTCTTAGTGCTAGAAATATATAGTGAATGAAAACAAGTCCCTGATTTTATGAAGTAGACATTAGGATGTGGTGATACAGAAACTAAACACATTCGTTTCAGAAAGTGGTAAATTCAATTAAGAAATAGGGTGTGATGGCATTAAGAGAGATGGAATCAGAAGGAGCACTAAAGGTTGAAGACTTCTTGATAGAGTCCTTGCTCACACCAGGCACAAGCTCTACCTCTGAGCTACACCCCAGCCCAAAGGAGGCCTCTCCCAAGGGCGTCTGCTCTGGGACAGCCGGGAGAGAAGAGGCCGGGCATGGGAGGTCTGATGCTGCAACCCTGGAGGGAAAGAAAATGTGCATATTTTTCAGAAGAACACAGGTCCTGCTTTGAAAACTTTCACAGGCCTTTCTGTGGTACAACCCAGCACTACCGTCACTGCGCCGTGACTACGTCATTGCCAGGAACTACATTTTATGTGTCTCCGGGTCTCCAACACCGTGCTGTGTTCTTGGCTTACAGCAGTCTCAATAAATATTGGAATGCACGAATGGGAAGCAGTCTGCACTGTACTTAGTAACATGTAATTTCATTTAAAGATTCTGGACAAGGTGGTGTATGTGTTCTGGGAAGCTGAGACACGAGGATCCCAAATTCAAGTCAGACTGGGCAACTTAGAGACTTAGCAAAACCCTGACTCAAAATGAAAAACTAAAAAGGCTGGGGACATAACTCAGTGTGAAGGCCCTGGGCTCAATTCCTAGTATCAGAGGGAAAAAGGTAAGAATTCAATGTACGTATATCGCACATACAGATTTGAAAGAACTGAAGGAGGAACAATTTTGCCTCGTTTCTTGTCCTATCAGAGTCTTTGTTTTCCAGGGCTGGGGATGGAACATCAGGGCCTACACTGCCACCGGCTCCACCTCCAGTACAGCTCCAGCCCTCAATAAGCTCAATCAGCTTTAGTTGGAAATTGGTTCCTTCAGGATGCAGAGCATTTCCCTAGTACATGGGTCTGGATTTGATCCCAGTACTGGGAGGGGAAAAAAAAGGTTCCTTGTAATGAAATCGGTTGTTACTTTTTTTTTTTTTTTTTTTTTTTTT